ACAGCAGAGAGGGTACCGTACTGTGGAAGATGTCTCCTGTTCTGTGTAGAAGGAGGAGGTCGGCAGCAGCAGTGACTTGCCCGAGTGACAAGAGAGGAAGTCGTGTAGGGGTGTGGTGAGGTATGTAGGTAGTTGGAGGTGGAAGCACACAAGTTTGAAGGTATGTGCGATGAACAAAGGTATGTGCGGGTTGTTCGCGTGGAAACAAGAGGGGGTCAAAGTTCAAAAGGGCTAACGCAAAAGCGACGACGCGCCAGAGGATTTGCAGCGGCAGAGGGAGTTCCCGTGTTGGAGGAAGACGGGAGATGGTAGTGGTGGGAGAATTAGGTAGATCAGGTATGTAGTGTGAAAAAAAGCAACTAACTACCTTACCTCTAGCGGTGGTGGTGGTTTGTTGTTGCAGCGGGTGGGAAGTGGAATGCAAAAATCGACGTCAGTCCGATTGTTCACTTTCTCACCTCAGGCTTCTTTCTTGAGGAATGGGGCCGGGGGTGCTGTCTGTTTTCTTTTGTTTTTTACCCTGCAGCAGCAGCAGCCAGCAAGGAGGGGAGCACAGGGAATTCTGGTTGTCAGGACAAGGACAGGAGCAGCTGCCGTCCTTTGCTGTGCAGCTGTGAGCCGTGTGCTTGGATGGGGTTTTGGGGGTTCACCACCACCACTCACTGACTGGACTGGACTGCTTGTGAGTGTGGTCCAGTGCAAGGAGCAGCCGGCAGACTCAGCACTGGGGGGCATTGGGCTGGTCAGTGCAGTGGGTCTGGGCTGAGCTGAGCCTCTTGATTCGCTTGTGATGCTGGAGGTGGGGGCACACTAGATGATTGGGCATGATTGGGTATCTCTCAGAAGAGGTAAACAACATCACATGACTCATCCAGACTGAAGCCAATGGATAAGAGCTGATAACATTGACAAGACTCCACTTGGGCTTCACCTGGCTCTCACCTTGGCTCACCTTTGATGGCCTGTTCTCTCACCTCGGCCTTACCTTGGGCCTTTTTCAGCAGCCCTGTGAAGCCTACCCGGCCTCCGTTCCAAGTCCTTCCTTGCGTGGACCTGGCCAGGCTAGTGTAGCCCTGAGATTGGATTGATTAATTTTTTCTTCTTTCCCAGCAGACATGCACTTGTCCATTTAATGCATTAATGGCCGTTGTAAGCCACTCCCCAGAGCCTGTCTGCTATGCACTTCCAAATACCCACTCTTGATGATCATAAATCATGGCATAATGCAATGACCTCAGATGCAGTGGCTGAGTGACAAATGTCCATCGCCATCCCAACTTGACGTTTGGTCCATCTCAACTTGCAGCTCTGAGAGACAAGCCAAAGTCATCTTTCTGCCCGAGATGCTGTGACCCTCCAGATTTTCTTCCCGACCCAGCCCAATGGCTGCGGCGCAGGTACCACCACTTGTCGACGCAGGACCGCCGCCAATTGGCAACCATCATTTGGGTGATTGCCATAGAAACAGCCAGCTGTGGGTGATGTCACTGGGGAAAGCCACGGCCGCCAGCTGGCAGGGTCTGACTTCTTCAACTGCAGGGACCAAGTGCATCAGCCACACTGATCATCGAGGGAAGGACTCCAGCCACAGTCACTCTCCAACAGGGCTGAGGCGGTGCACATCAAATTAATTCCCCGTGGAGGGGTCCGTTCACGTCTCCCGTCTCTCTCCAGTCATTTCCAGCTGGAAATTGGGGTCGCTGCTCATCTACCGCCTGCCGCCTGCCGTCTGCCACCAGCCGGCCACTGTGAACACTGAACTGCCATTTCGTAGCAGCAGCCAACAGCCTCCACCAAACTTCTTCAAGTGAGGTCGGGACTTGTGTTGGAGGCGGAAGCACATGAAACATTTGGCCGCCCACCTTCAGCGTCACAATCCCGCCGCCGCCCACCGAGCCTCACCCCTCGCTCCAAACCCAGGAGTCTTTATTCTTTATTTCTCCAAACCCTGCATTCTGCGCTGCTGTCCATCTTCATCGCCTCGAATGCAACTGCGTGTTGGTTGCAAAGTTGACTGTCCATTGACGCTCTTATAGCATATTAGAGACAACTACTACTACAGACATGCTTCCCACCGCCTGGGCGCCCAACCCCTAAACTTCCAGATTAAACACGGCCGCCTCCAGCAGCACTGACACCCAACCCAACAATACGAGCCGGAACCTCTCAACCAAACCCCCGAACCGTCACCGACTCGTGGTTAGGTCTCCTCCTCCTCCTCCTCCTCCTCCTCCGACACCGCCTTTCGCTCTCTCGCAACTGCCACTTGGCCCGGTCGGCCCTGACTCTGCATTTCATTTTTCGCTGCCCGCAGTCCCGTCCAGTCCAAAATTCCCCGGCCCACGAGGCTGTCATCCCCAAGACACCCCGGGACCCCTTGGCCCATCAATTCATAGCAGCCTTGCAGATTCTACCTTACCTACCCACCGACAGCCAGTCGCCTGTCGACTTTGGTCTCAGTCGCGCATCGCCATCGCAGGTTGCCGCGACACCGCCCCCCCCGCAGTCCCGAGCACTTTCCACGCGCTTTAGAAAACGACGCCCTCGTCAGCGAGAGCCTGAGGTGCATTCTTGTTTGTCATTGTGCGCATTACTGCTGCTGTTGCTGCCGCTGCTGCTACTCGCCATACACCGCGATTTCGAGTTCTGCTGCAACCAACGACAACCTCCGCCGCAATGAGCCAAATCCTTACCTCTCGGCAAGCCGAGGAGCTGTTCGTCAACCCGCCAAACTCCTTGCGGGGCACTACTGACCAGCATCACGCAGGCACAAGGCCATCATCGCCTACCTCTCCTCGAGCAACCTGCCCAACGCCGCCAATGCCCTGCGGGAGGAGCTGCAGATCGGCGAGGCCTTTGACGCGGCCACCTCCAAAAAGTATGAAGGTCTCCTCGAGAAGAAGTGGACCAGCGTAGTGAGGTTACAGAAAAAGGTCCATCATCCCGATTATCGCGGTACGCTTGGCTGCACGAGACTGACCTCGGCCTAGATCATGGAGCTCGAGTCCCGAACTGCCTCGCTACAATCAGAGATCGACAACGCGACACCGACCTCGCTTTCCCGACGAAACCAGGATCCCACCAGCTGGCTGCCCCGTTCCCCCGCCCGCCACACCCTCCAATCCCACCGAGACCCCATTACCTGCGTCGCCTTCCACCCCGTCTTTTCGTCTCTGGCCTCGGGGTCCGAGGACTATACCATCAAGATCTGGGACTGGGAGCTGGGCGAGCTCGAAAGAACAATCAAGGGCCACACCAAGGCCGTCCTGGACGTCGATTTTGGAGGGCCGCGAGGTGCTACCCTGCTGGCCTCTTGCTCGAGTGATTTGACAATCAAGCTTTGGGACCCTTCAGACGAGTACAAAAACATCCGAACGCTGCCCGGCCACGATCACAGCGTCAGTGCGGTGCGGTTCATACCATCGGGCGCTGCAGGTGCGGGGAGCTCAGGAAACCTACTCGTTTCAGCCAGTCGAGACAAGACTCTGCGCATTTGGGATGTTTCCACGGGGTACTGCGTCAAGACCCTGCGGGGGCATGCGGACTGGGTCCGAGACGTCTGTCCGTCCCCGGACGGCCGCTTCCTCCTCTCGGCCGGAAACGATCAGACAGGTCGCCTTTGGGACATCAGCGCTGCGAATCCCGAGGTGAAGCTCACGCTGGTCGGCCACGAGCATGTGGTCGAGTGCTGCACACTTGCGCCAGCGACGGCATACCCGCACTTGGCCACGTTGGCAGGCCTCAAGAAGCCGCCACCAGCAACGAGCACGGTGGAGTTTATGGCGACGGGCAGTCGTGACAAGGTGATCCGTCTGTGGGATGCCCGGGGCAACTGCATAAAGACCCTGACGGGCCACGACAACTGGGTGCGCGCTCTTGTCTTCCACCCCGGAGGCAAGTACCTCCTCAGTGTATCCGACGATAAGACATTACGATGCTGGGATCTCGCTCAGGAGGGCAAGTGCGTCAAGGTGTTGGACGACGTGCATGGCCACTTTGTCTCATGCCTGCGATGGGCACCGGGTATTGTTCGCGAGGCGGCAACGAACGGCGACGGGCAGAACGGCGCCAACGGGACCCCGAGCAAGGCGGCAAAGCCGGCCGAGGTTTCGATCCGGTGCGTGATCGCGACAGGAAGCGTCGACCTGAACGTCCGCATCTTTGCCAACTAGAGCGTCACCATCGTGGATAAAGTATAGTACAGTGCAAGCAAGTACGGAAAACAGACGCCGAATGAGGCGACACCGCGCCGCGGTCGAAGAGCAGGAGGGTACGAGGCCGAGGCGCCGAGAGAGAGAGGGGTGCCGGCAGCAAACTTGAAGGCGTAACGATTCACACGAGGCAATGGGTCATACGGGAGGCAGGCGTCAACAGGGGTCAAAAGTACGGCGTACCATCTGACGATTACGTGATGCCCTTCGCTGATTGATATAGATTTTAGGGGAGCTGTACATAATCGAATAGATACCCGCAACATGTCCTCGCTGGGCTTCAACAGACGCTTTTGGTTTCCGAGCGGTGATGTGAGCATGGGACGACGCTTGTGGTGTCGTGATGGTCGGGCTGTGTGCACCAGCTGCAAGCAATTTGCGGCTGAGACGTCGGCGTCGATTTGTCTGGGGAACGCGGCGAACGGTCTCCGGGGTGTGGAGATGATGACCGGCAGCCGGAGAATTGTGGCTGCTGACGTTGTTCGGCACGGCTGGTTAAGAGTGAGACAAGAGTCATGGCAATTTGGTTTCTGCATCTATAACTCGACCACCATATGAAGCTCACGAAATTGAAAGAAGGCGCATGCTTGAACGAATCGTGTTGATGGAAAAAAAAAGAAGGGTATCCTGGTGACCTCGCGAAATATGAATAATCCTGATGCAGTTTTCCTCCTGCTCTCCGCCACGAATGACCTGCTACAACGCCATCCACGAACTCGCTCCCCATGTGCTCGAAATGAACCTCCAGTTCGGGAAACACATCTACACAACCCCGGTCAATCCCAGACCTCAGCCGTTGTAGGCACCGTGCCAATGGACCTCCGTGCGACCGCTGCGATGGTACGTCGCGAGCGGGATCCCACACTGCCATGTCAAAGTTAGAGTCAGCCCCCATGTTCGTCTCAGGATACACGGAACAACAAAAGCGAAAGCGAAGTGAAGACAAACGTACCTTTGCGCACTTGTGCCTCGCGTCCTTGAGAGAGGTAAAGAAGTACGGGATGCAGCCCAGACAGCTCACGAAACACACGATGGCGGCGAGGGCGTGGGTGAAGCCGCCCGAGGTGTACTCGACGGCGGTGACGCCGCGGGCGTGGCAGTCGGGGCACTCGATGGGCGCCGGGTGCGGGCCGAGGGCGGGGAGGGGCGTGCCGTACGGAGCGAAGTTTTGGGGGCCGCCGCCGCCTTGGGGGAAGGATTGCTGCGCGTGTGGTTGTTGGGGGTTGTAGTAGCCTCCGCCGGCGTTTGGGTCTGGAGGGCTGCCGTATTTGGGCATCTCGTAGCCTTGGGATTGAGGGCCCGGGGTGTGCTGGTGGTGATGTGGCGGCGCGTAGCCTGGCGGAGGGCTGGCGGGGGAGATGTAGTTGTTGTCTGACGGGTTCGTGTCTGACGTCGTGGCGGGGTGAGGGCCCGGAGGCGGCTGTGCTGGTTTGTCCATTGTGAAGATTGGATGGGTGTGTCTCGCTTTGAAGGATGCGAGGTGGTGATGTGTTGACGATGGTTGGAGACAGAGAGGTGAGTGGTGAGAAGTAAGAACGTACGTGGAAGTTGGAGGTAGAGTTCGGGGCGTCACTTATATCTCAAGTTCAAGAGTCAGATGGGTGTGGCACTGCCCAACGGGCAAGGCAAGCGATTGGAGACGGTGCCGATTTAACCTTGATTTGGGGGTTCGGAGAGTGTCACTTGTACCGAGGCGGCCGGAGGTTGCTTTCCATCCTTTGGCGGCGGCTGCAGGTTGGTTCGAGGCAGATCAGATGAAAGAAGAGGCAGAGCAGGCAGGGTCACGTCTGAAGTGTCGGTGGCACATGTGCATGTGCATGTAGTACTACTACGGCTACGTAGGTACTCACTTGGTTGGGGGCAAGGCAACGAAGAACAAACGCTTCATCCGTCTCAGTGGCCGGGCGCAGTCCGTCGCGCAGTCGAGGGTCTTGGTGAGCGAGACCGAACGAGAGCAGAGCTCAGCTCAGCCTGGGATGTTTCTGACGGTGCCCACTGACAATGACACCAACACCACAGAGCTCGGATGCGATGCCGGGGCGGTGGGTAGCCAGACCAGAAAGATTGGCAATGACATGGCTTTCCTGGGGTGGTCCCTGTCTGGGCGATCATGCTGAGACGGCAAGGACGGGCGGAGCGGTGGCTACGTCGGGACACCCGCCAAGGGGACGGATGATATCATGGGACCGGCGGTGGAGGAATGGGTAGCTTGATTTGTTGGACTTTGGTGTACGCGCCGAGAGAGAGGAAGATGCGCTTGGGATGTGGCGATGCTGCATTTGTAGGATGGGGGGAGTTGGGCGCTGATTGGACGTGGAGCTGCGATGGCGCTTCTGGGCGGGAGACTGCGCCACAGTGAGGTGGTCAGCCACGTTGCTCACTCGCCACACACAACCGGGGTGCTTCACCTGTGGCTGGTGGTGGTGAGTTGGAGTTCGTCTCTTCGTCTCTTGCTCAGTAAGGGTTGGACACAGTTCCATCAGATGCGATCTGGCTTGATCTTTTTGCTGAGTCCAGGAAGTTCCGAGGAGGCTCAAACAATGCATTAGAAAAGGTGATCTGAGAGCATCTTGCTGCCTTTACTGATTCCCACGGGGTGATCATCGACACTGCCTACGAGATGTCGCAGTCAGGCAAGACAGGCACCATTGAACAGCTTCGAAGTACTTCTGTCGATCAAAGAACCAAGGCCACACGTCGTTGGTTGAAGACGTACTAGGTAGTGGAGGAACAAACCATCACGATGTCGAAAACAATGGACCTCGTTTTCACTCACAGTCAAGACTCCAAAAACGGCTGACTTCAGAAATAGACAATAATTGATACAATGAAATCCTATTTTACTGCGGCCTGTCCGCCGCACACAAATCTACCACCCCTCAAAACGTGGGCGCAATCCTCGCCTGCTCCTGGCTCGCAACCAACTTGAACGTCCTCAGCGTGCTCGTCGACCTCGCACGCGGGTTGTGCATCGACCCCGCCGATAACCGCGTCATCCGCCCCTTCTCGTCCAGCGACAAGGCCGGCGACGCGGGCTGAGACCCCGCCACGCTCCGCGACTTGAGATTCAACCGGCTCACCATGCTCTGTATCGCCGTATTCGGATCCAGCGGCGGAGGGGGCGTCGCGATCGGCGTCGGGATCCCGTGGTGCACCATCATCATCTGGTGATGGTGGTGCTGCTGCGACGACAGCGAGGAGATGGACCGCCCGCCGTCGGACCCGTGTGTGCCCCGCCGGTTCAGCGGGATCCGGGCCATCGACTCCTCGGCCCGCGACGGCGCGCGCCCGTGGGGGAACCCTTGGATGTGCAGCGCGTTCGCGGGGCCCGGAGCCCGTCCCCTCGTAGGCGAACGACTCGAGCCGCGGCTCGACGGCGGGGTGGTTACGCCGTGCGAGGGGAACTGCGGCTGGTTCGCGGCGACCATCTGCTCGAAGGACATGTTGAGCGGCATCGGCGGCATCTTGCTCAGCCGCCGGATCGCGCGCATGTTCTTGTCGATGAAGGTCGACATGCGGTTCAGCGCGTTGCTGTTCTGGTGCGACTCGAACGCCGACGCGCCATTGACAGGGGCTTCGGTCCGCACCCTGTGCCGCTCGTTGAGCTGCATCGTCTGCGTCGTCGGCGGCAGTGGCGCGGCCACCTGCGGCGCGTTGCGGATCGTCTGCTGGATCTGCGAGAGGACGTTGTCGAACTCGACCGTCTCCTGGACGGGCTTGTACCCCGGCGCGGCGCCGACGACGGCGTTCTGAGACAAGACAAAGAAGGACCCGTCGCGGATGCGCCGCCGGACGAGATTCCACCGCGTGCGCGCTGGGTTGCGCTCGATCTCGGGCTGGTAGATGGAGCACTGCGCCAGCTTGGAGTAGAACACCTCGAGCCGCTTCGCCATGCGCTCGAGGATCTGCATGAGGAACTGGCAGAGGGCGGTGACGCGCTGGGCGTCCGAGGCCGCGTCGAGGTTCATGATGGTGTCGAAGGCGTCCATGCCGTGGCACGCCTCTTCGCGAATGTCCTCGAGCAGCTCGATGTCGAGCTGCACGGACTTGTTGGCGTAGTCCATGATGCCGCGCTCCATGAAGCGCGCGGGCTCCGAGTCGCAGATGAACTGCCCGATGCGGGAGACTTCCTTGGAGGTGGCGACCGCGTCGGACGACGTCTTGGCGCGGGCGATGATGCCGAGGATGTCGGGGAGCTTGGTGTCTGCGCCCGGGGACGCGGCGTCGTTGGCCATGGCGAAGGAGAGCTTCAGCACGAGTTCCTGGAACTTGGGGCCGAAGAGCGCCGAGAAGCCACCCTGGAGGAGGCGGGATTGGTACTGGTAGAAGATGCGCACGCCGAGCATGTTGATGAGGCTGCCCTGGAACCAGAGCTTCGAGGAGCCGAGGATGTCGTCCATCTCGAATTGCTGCGAGACGAGCGTCTCGACGGTCGTCCGGAGGTAGGCGGACCACATGTCGTAGAGGCCGCTGAGCTCCTCAGCGTCGTGGTACTCCGGCTTGGGCGTCAGATGTCCCACGAAGTATTTTGTGAGCAGGCTGGCGACTTCGGGGTTGTTGGTGTGCGCCAGGTTGTCAAAGGACTTGGTGCAGTCCACGCCGGCGTTCGACTTGATAATCAGCGTGCCGCCGGGGTGCATCGGGCAAAAGTCCGTCACGTCGTAGACGGACCCGTGGACGCTGATCCACATCCGTCCCCCGGGCCGGTGGCCGGTGTGGGAGGCCAGCTGGGAGAGCGGGATCGTGGGGCGGTTGCAGGGCAGCGGCTTGGGCGTCATGAAGACGTCCAGCATGATCCGGCGCTCGGCGAAGGCCGTGTTGATGATGAGGTCCGTCGACTCCATCGTCGCCGTGCGGTGGTTGTAGATGGCCTTGCGCAGGCCGCTCATGACGGAGTCGAAGACGGCCACCGAGCCGCAGATGTACAGGTATCCGCCCAGCCCGCCCTGCTTCTTGGACATGACCAGATCACACACGCTGGCGCCCTGCTCCGCGATGAGCGAGTCAATGTACCGCGGCTCGGTGCGGCGCTCGACCAGGTCCCGCATGTAGGGGTCGTACGCCAGGCCGCGGCTGTCGCGGGAGAAGGCGAGGTGGACCTCCATGAAGCCGGCGTTGACGTACTGCCGCAGCTCGTCCTCGTAGCAGAACTTTTCGCGGTTCTGCACGCCGAGGAAGAGCATGTTGCGTCCGACGGAGCGGCCGCAGCGGGCCTGCCAGAAGCTTCGGAACGGCGCGATGCCGCTGCCGCCGGCGAAGAAGGCACAGGGCGCGGAGGCGTCAAGGGGAAGTTGGAAGGCGATGGGGCGCGAGATGCCGACCAGGAGCTCGTCTTCGTCAGACACAAAGTCGTCCGGGGAGCCGACGGCGGGGTTGAGATAGCCACTGCTGACGCCGGAGCGGGTGATGGTGGACTTTCCGGCAAATGTGGCACAGAGGTTGTATTCTGCGCGGGAAATGGTGAGGTCCAGCGTGCTAGGGAGGAGTTCCTCGGGATAGTTGGAGATGGAGTATGTCCTGGGCACTTCGACGGGGATGAGATCGCTCAGCCAAGGGATGTCATTGGAGAGGTCAAACGCCTGGTCCCAGATGTGCGTCGGCGTGTCCATCACGGCGGCTTGGAGGAGGTCGCCGAGGGAGCCGCGAACGGGCCACTCGTCTGTTGCCAGCACTTGAAGGACAGTGTTGGATGACGCCCTCAGCATGGCATGGATCTTGAGGACGAGTTCTTGGGTCAAGGGGGCAAGGTGGCCGCGACGCAGAATATCCTTGACCATCAACTTCTTCACTTGCGACACAGGGCCGGCGACTCCATGGTTCGAGACGGTATCGAGATGCTCGGCGAAACGGGACCACTTGCGGTCGAGGAGGACAGGTGCGTCGAGCATCGAGTCGAGGCCGAGAGCCGCGGCGACCTTGGCGCACTCCTCCCAGCTGTTGAGTGGCATGATGGCGAGGCGGTCGCCAGGCTGGAAGGTGATGCCCGTGTTGTGCAGGTCGAGGGTGACCATGGCGATGGACCGCTCGTGGTCTGAGTCGACGAAGGAACGCGTGAGGATGCGTGACTTGTAGCGGCACTCCTCAAACGTCCCGCGCATCTCATGGGGTTCGACGGGGATGTTCCCGCGGTATGGCTCCAAGCGTTCCTTCATGGCATCCGAGAACTGGCGATGGACCTCCTCCCATGGTCTTCCCGAGTCGTCAGAGGCACCCGACGCGCCGTTTGTTTCCGTGCGGCCCGTTTTGGACGCCACTTCCAGGATACCAAACACTTTATACCGATGCGTTCCCATGAACCCACGTTCGCCCGTGTAAGCCTCAATGATGCCGTCCAACACGCCCATGAGACGGGGATCCCCAGACTGTTTGACGTATTCGGGGATGCGGTAATGGTACTCTACAGAGGCGATGAACGCTCGCAGGTTGGAGGGAAGCCAG